TGAGAAATATATATTTAAATTTATAACGACGTCAGAAATCAAAGGAAACTCATACTACTTAAGTATATATGTTTTAAATGTGTGATTTTTGCAGTAGGCCAGCCTCCTGCCGTGACCGAAACATCTCAGAATCATATTGCTCGGCAATCAATATTGCAGTCCCGTCTATGTAAATCGTTCTAACAGAAGTTGCATTTCTGAATTTTGAAGGCTAGCATTGTCCGCCATACGTCACCAATAATCATAGGGAGTATGGTGGCAGGGGTGGTGTATGCGAACTGCCATTATCAAGGATAAAGAACGCTCCGAACATGTGCATAAACAATGATAATGTTCCAGTACGCCCAGTAGAACCCCAACTTTTCTCTGAAAGTACGCCTTACTTTAGCACAAAAGACTAAATAAGTAACACTAGCCATCTTCCAAACCTATTTAAGCAATCCTTTCTAATCGAAAACTTACTTCCTAATTTTTACTAACATTTCAGGAGGTATGCCACCTACTATCTGTGTTCAGGGTTTAACCCTAGCTTAATTGTTCGGAAACCAATATAGCTTTACAGGGGCTTCACATAAAAAACGCAGATTATTAACAACCCTGAAAGGGAACCTCATTCAAGTTATGTCATCCTTCTCACATGTAAGCAAGTTCACACATGCAGAACACCAAATCCCACTTCGGCCTTGCTTGTTGCACAAACATCATGATAGTACAACGTGTCAGTCTCCTTTATGTGGTTTGTAAATTTGCAGATCCGCTATAAGTGCCCGCAATCGTGCAGATCCGTCGGGTTGGTCTCAGCAGCCGACAAGGTCGGGCAAGGAGACTCGACCCATTCCGCCTGAGCAGGCATAGGGAAATCTAGAGGCAGATGGATGATGTGAGTCGGCGATGTCTCCCACAGCGGGCTGCGCTGCAGATGGGAGTCAGGCTGTCTCGCGGCACGTGCCAGTCAGAGTCTGTGCAAGTCCATGACTACTGTCGTGCATGTGCGTGATGTCACACCTATGGTAAAGGCCGGGGTGTGGCGGAACGCCTAGGTGCAGGTCTGGCCGCGCCAGCCACCTGCGCCCTCCCCCACCTCCGGTCGTATTGAAGCTGTCTTGGCACGAGGTCCAGGTGGGGAGTGGGAAAGAGAAGGCGTGGTAGATGCTGCGCAAGTCACCTTGCTGCGGAGCACACAGTGGGCATAGTCGGAAAAGATGGTCAAACTGTCATGGTATAGGCCTTCACGCCGTGTCAGCCACTGCGCCTGCAGGTTGGGAGGCTCAGAAAGCCGAGTGGTTCATGAGAGAAGGAAGGGGGAGCGGGGCAGACAGTGTGGAATCCATCCTCATGGCACATTAGCGCGTTCCTCATCACAGTAAACGTCTGATGCGCTTGAATCTACCCCCACACGCGCCAAGATGCAGTCATGGTGCCCGCGCACACCTCCGATCGTCTTTTCATGACCGACCCACCGGAGGTGACGGAAAAGAGGGTGCGACAGATGCTGAGCAAGTTTGCCTCACTGCAAACAAATCGACGCGTCAGCCGCCGGTGCTGGACACGCGGTGGACGCTGTCGCTTTCGACGGTCACACTGTCGTCCTAAGTCTACGGTACTATTTATAGCATCACGCGAAAATTAGGTTGCTTCAGCATCAGTGGATCGGCCGTTTCATTATGATGTCAGATAGGTATAAGTTAAAAAAAAACTGTTCTATCGAGATAGAGCTGCAAGGGTAAACTGAAAATCGTCCACACGCACGAAAATCGACGTCCGTCTGGGAGATTATTGGTTATGCCAGGCGGACCAGGTGGTTTTTTCTAAAAGGAGACGGCAGGACGCCGAATACACATAGGAACGACCACAGGAGACTGGCAGACGACAATGATGAGGACGGGGAACTTAACGACTGAGCGGGGATATCGAGTGACGGCGTGAATTTGGAATAGACAGACTATATCAGCTAGCGGCTACCCCCCCCCCCCGTCTTCCCCATAGCTCCTCTTGGCCATAAACTAGCCCGACTAGGCGCCAGGTAAGCAGACTCCAAACAGCAATATCTTACTGGTGTGGGGCAAATCAACTTTTGAATCTACTTTCTCTCCTTGCCTATAACTGACCACTCACGGGAGCTTAACAGAGAATCAGCAGGCGGCACGACGCAGAATACGTATTGGAAAGAACGCAGGAGACAGGCAGTCGAAAATCATGAGGATGAGAACCAGAACGCTTGGACTGTTGGAGTAGCAATAACCCGCCAAGGGAACATCGATTGGCGACGCACTCTTGTGAGACACATATTATATTAGTTAGTGGCACCTACTGTCTTCCCCATAGCTCTGTTCGGCCATAAGCCCGTCCGACCTGGAGCCAAGTAGGCTGACCCCAAACACCAACGTCCTACTGGTACGGAGCAAATCGACTTTTGGACTTACTTTCTGCCCTAGCCTATGACTGATCCTTCAGGGGGGGGGGGTTAACAGAGCTACCTGCACCTCGTTTTCGAGTGGTCCTAGCCGAAAGGAATCTTTCTTAGAAGCTCCGGAAAACTTTTGGTTTGCGGAGGAATTGCTGCCCGCTGTATGCAGACGGCACGATTAGGCGCCAGGTTTCATGTGCATAAAGTCGACTTACAGTTACTCCCTCTCTCTCACCGAGGTCATCTGGAGAACGGTTTGTGCCGCGTTGTTAAATCTGGACTGAGTCAACGGGGGTGTTGGACGGACGTTTTACGCTACATCAGGCATTGAACCCAGTTCATCTCCAACCGACTTGAATGAAGCTTAACCTCGAGCCTGAACAAATCTGATGGAGGCTTTGAAGACTTAATGCGCATCAACTGCTGGGTATGAGAAGATTGCCAGTTGATAGAATAGGTTAGTCCTCCTCTGATCTACGGGTTGGACTACAGTTGCCCCTTCTTAATGCAGCCTCTGCGCCGACTACCACACGTAATTATTTGGAGTCCTGTCTGAAGTGTGATTCGTGCCTCTGAGTGGACTCAGCCCTGTCATCCACCGCGCATACACCAAAACTTAGTCCTAATTACTTTGTTTTGCTTTTGGAACAGAGTGGCTGGGCAAAGCGAGAGTTATGCATGTTCTGCGCAAGCCCCCCTTACTACAACCCAATTCACGCAAAACTTCCTATTGTGCTTTCGGGACAGTGTTGCTCTTCGCCAACGTGACACTGGTTAAAAACAAACCAGAAATATCGGTGCTGCAAACGCGCAAGGGCGGTTGTCTGTGGGGCCTTCTATGTCCCGCAAGTTAGCTCGAAAGCCTCGACTTCGGTTTATACGGAGTGCAGACGAAAAGAGTAGGGGGACGGATGCGAGGAGACGACTGTCGACCACAGAGAATGTTGCGTGATAAAACGAGGCTCACAGTGGTAATAAATGTCAGTAAAAGGAAGCTTATAACAGGGACGCCGTTGGTTGATCTCGCATACGATCATGAGTCACCCACTCTAAAGGACAGTCTGGGCGTGTCAGGCATTCCTGGATTGAGAAGTCAGATTAGATTTGAGTGTCCGACCTATGCCGACGCCCGGCATCCAACAGACCGTCGGTGTGTTGGAGGCTCATGCCTCGTGGGTGTAATCGACAAATGTGGATCTCACAAACCTGTACTCACTGTCTGCGTGCAAGCCCGCTCAGGCAGCCGCCCATGACCAGGTTGGAGATGGCCTAAAGAAACTGGGATACCGGAGGAGGCGAACATCACAAACAAGGGTAATTGATTGGCAGTCGGTAGGACGCCCGATGCGATGGTGCCGTCGGTCGGTAGGGATTCACTCCTGCCCTGCACAGTCAAAACGCATAAGCCGCGTCCTCCTTGGAAACCCTTGAGTACGAAACTGCGTGAGTTGAACCGCGGTTCTTCCGGACAAAACCTTCGGCTGGCATTAAAGACCCAGCACCTCGACCTCATTAACCTCATTCTCAACTGGCAGGCCCCGTGCCCCGATGTCCCATACTCTCTGGAGGCTCCAATATCGAGAGAAGGACCATCACGGCACTTTGTAGGTTAAGTAACATTGCTATCTGGTTGATTGCACTCGGACGCTTTCGCGAACTATTGGCGCCCCTGTACACCGGCACAGCATCGGTCGCACGTCGCTAGCAGTTTTACCAGCTCAAATAAAGTCATCCTGAAATCTCGACTCCACGAGAACGTTTGCATGCGAATTGGACTACCTTGCAGACAGTGACCAGCGTCAGTACGAGGCGACCCACTGACGTCGACGAACTTTCGGGAGGTGGTCGAGGAAAATCAAGGACACTGCTGCGGCCACTTGTAGTAAATTAGTCGTCATCGACCAGTGATGCTGCAGCCCTGAGTGCCGTAGCACTCGAATCCCGAACTCTGAGCCAGTGGATCATGGAACACCCAGAACCCCATGTTCTGTTCACTCGAGCTGTCTACTAGGACCGGATCAGAGCCTGTTGGGTCAGCATCTGGTGTCACTGAACGACGATTGTCAACGCGCCAGAAGCCACTATCTAGGAGTCCCTGATTATTGTCGACAACACCTTTTCAAGATTTGCTGCCCGCCGCTATGCGACAAACCAGACAGACCCTAAGCCTAGGGCTCTAAAGAAAAGACAGAGCTGTGCACTTCCGTACACAAACAGGATACATCGGGAGACGCCAGTCGCAAAACGCGTCCCTCCGAACCTGGGTTGGTGATTAAGACCCATAGGAACGTTAGCCAAAGCTGAACTTGCGTTGTTACCTACGCAAATAAGTGCACGAGTGGTAAATAATTTTCGCAGTTCAACCCCCGTCGACAAGCACGAGAAGACCAAACATGCTGGTTATCCTTGTTACCTGATAGGGCGGTCATCACAATGTAAGAAAACAAACGTAGAACAACTTGTGAGACAAGTTTATAGGAAATAAGCCAAGTGACCACAACTGCGACAATGAGCAACAAATGGAATACGCATGGCTTAACCGACAATCCAAAATCGTGTCGTATACAACTGTACAAGAAAAATCAACATAAAATTATAGCTCTTCTTTTGCACCATGGGGAGGAGGTGGGGCGCCTTCTTGTTGATAGAGTTTGCTCATGATAGGTTGAACGACCTCCTCGAGCTTCTTCTTCTGATCCTTGCAATCTTGCGCTTCGGCCTGTGGATTCTTTTCCAGCCAATCAATAGCTTCCTGCGCAGCCTTTTCAACACTTTCCTTATCTGAAGCACTCAATTTTCCACCCAACTTCTCCTTGTCGTTTAGTTGGGTCTTCAGTGAGAACGCAAGACCCTCGAGCTCGTTTCGCGCCTCCACACGTTCCTTAACCCGATTGTCTTGTTCGGAGAACTTCTCAGCATCATTTATCATGCGCTCTATTTCCTCCGCATTCAGTCTATTCGTTTCTTTATTGATCACGATGTTGCTCTTCTTGCCAGTTCCTTTATCTTCTGCAGTTACTCTCAGGATGCCATTCACATCCACCTCAAAAGTGACTTCAATCTGAGGAACTCCGCGGGGGGCTGGAGGGATACCAGTCAAGTCGAACTTGCCGAGAAAATGATTATCCTTCGTCATTAGGCGTTCGCCTTCGTAAACCTGGATAGTAACGGTCGGCTGATTGTCCGCAGCTGTAGAAAAGACTTGAGCCTTCTTCGTAGGGATCACGGTGTTTCGTGGAATAAGCTTGGTCATGACGCCTCCCACGGTCTCTATACCCAGGGTCAGGGGGCAAACGTCCAACAAGACAATATCGCCAGTGTTCTCTGCACCACCAATGATACCAGCCTGAACAGCAGCACCATAGGCGACGGCCTCATCCGGGTTAATACCACGGCTAGGTTCCTTGCCATCGAAGAAATCTTTGACCAGCTGCTGAATCTTGGGAATACGGGTAGAACCGCCAACAAGGACAATCTCATCAATGTCCGACTTCTTCAGATCAGAGTCGTCCATAACCTTTTGTACAGGCTTAATGGTTTCACGAAAGAGAGCGCTGTTAAGTTCCTCAAATAGAGCCCGTGTGAGAGTCTCTGAGAAGTCATTGCCTTCGAAAAAGTCGTCGACCTCTACGGTCACGCTATGTTCAGTACTCAGGGTTCTTTTGGCTTTTTCGACCTCTCGTCGCAGCTTCTGCACAGCTCGAGTGTCTTTTGAGGCATCCTTGCCAGTCTTCTTCTTGTATAACTTCAAGAAATATTCAATAACGCGATGATCAAAATCTTCACCTCCGAGATGCGTATCACCACTGGTAGCAAGAACTTCGAAAACTCCGTTATCGATGGTCATCAGAGAAACATCAAAAGTGCCGCCGCCAAGATCGAACACAAGGATATTCTTCTCGCCCTCCTTCTTGTCCAACCCGTAAGCAATTGCCGCCGCAGTAGGTTCGTTGATTATCCGCAACACATTTAGGCCTGCAATAACACCAGCGTCCTTCGTCGACTGCCGTTGAGCATCGTTGAAGTAGGCTGGCACAGTTACAACAGCATGAGTGACTTTGGTCCCCAAATAAGCCTCAGCGATCTGCTTCATGTGTCCAAGGACCATTGCAGATATTTCCTCAGGGGCAAACGCCTTCACCTCCCCACCGACATTGACCTCGAGGTAAGGCTTCCGGTTCTTCTCAATCACTTTAAAGGGATATCTTTTTATGTCCGATTGAACCTCTGGATCAGAGAACTCCCTGCCTATCAGTCGCTTGGCATCGAAGAGGGTGTTTTCTGGATTTGAAGTTAACTGATTTTTGGCAGCATCGCCAATAAGACGCTCGTTTGCCGCAGAGAAGGCAACATAAGAGGGAGTAATTCTGTTTCCTTGGTCATTTGCGATTATTTCAACGCGTCCGTTTTTGAAAACACCAACACTACCATCGAGGTCAGTGAGAAAAACTATCAACTTACCAGGAGTATGTTGTTCCCAGATCAATGCCTACGACGGTCCCATAATCCTCCTTCTTCGAAGAATCAGATGTGCTCAGTCCGAGCAGACAGGAAACAAGGACGGCAATTACCACGACAAACTTCATGATCAATTCAAGTATAGATGACATGGCGAGAGCAGTTTATATACCACTGATATTATGTGTGAGCTGATGATTGGTCCACATAATGCCTCGTCAGACAACGTCATTCGAGTTGGTAAATTAAAACAGCCTGCTTTCGTTGCCCTTACTGTTTGCCAATAAAGAGCTGAATATTCTCCTATTTATATAGTATTTTTCTGCATTGCATTTCTAAAAGAGGCATTTTTTTGTTTTTAGAACCGTGAGAAGTTATTCGTAGTGTTGATTTTTGTTTCTAGATTCCAGTTATTAGTAAACAGGGGAGGTACCATTACCAACAATGGCGTTACAAAGTCCGGAAGAAGAAAGGTAGGTCTCCTGGTTTACCCAGTTTGCCTGCTGAAAATGAGATAGAACAGTAGTTTGCGACTGAACAAGCGGTTAACGGTCATTTTATTAACTTTGACATTTTTGCGTAATTTGGTCAGGGCGAAGGATCTGTTCGTCTTTCTCGATGAGTAAAATGCATTCCTACGTTTTCCTGTAGGAAATCCGCCGACAATAATTAAGTGCAATGTGAACGAAACACTTTTTAAAAAAACTTCAACAGTTCTTCCAGCCTTATTGCCCTGGTGAGTAATATTAAAGATGTGTCCGAACGAATATTGTGCACATACGCCAGTAGGTCTATTTATTGTGGTTCCAAAGCCGTCTTTCAATGATGAATATGTTCCCCGTGCCTTAGAAGAAACTCGTTAATACTGCCCACATGGACCCACGTTAACGTAGTTTGGTTCTCATAAAGTTGCTGTATAATCTATAAACAAGATGTTTTGGTCTCCCGAAGTCGTGGACAAGCCAATTCCCAAATTTTTCTTAGGGTTCTTCCAAATGAACGTTAGCTTCTGTGTAGTAGGCTAGGGACTCTAGTTGCACAGCAATTAGTTAAAAGAACACAGTCTT